AGGATTTGGTTGTAACTTGAGTAGGCGTCCAAGAAACTCAGCAACTCGTGCCCTGCCGTTGCGTCAATGAGCTGATCGATATGAGGCAAGGGAAAGGAGTCTTTCGGTAGGCCTCGTTTATGTCTGTGAAATCCACGCACAACCACCATTTCCCGTTTTTCTTTTTTACCATAACTACATTGGCGACCCATTGAGGATATTTCGATTCTCGGATGAAGCCGTTAGCGAGTAGTTTGTCCACTTCCTCGTCGAAGGCCTCGTTGATTGCGGCATTGAATTTTCTTCTTATTTGTCATACTGGGGGTTGAAGTAATTGACGTTCAATTTATGTGTTGAAATGTCTTTCGGAATACCTGGCATATATGCATGGGAAAAAGCAAACAGATCAGCATCATTGATTAAAAGCTCATAAAATTTACCTGGCTCGGAGAGCTTATGGCCTATATAAGCCTTTTGTTGCTGTTGCTGCCATCCCGTTGGACGAGATCTAGATCTTCTGTTGTTGATCCCGCGACTTCCACGACGTCGGGGTCCTTGATAACGTCTTTTTGATCGTTAAGTTCGGACCCCGACTTTTATGATAGCTATGCTTCTGAGTTAGTTGCTTTCAGCTATTGAGTGAATGTGCAATCTTGGGCGATGCGGTAGCATTCTTGGGCTATGCATTGTTCGCCTCGGATGCTGAATACCCCCTACGGGGTAGGGAATTTGATTACTTGATACAAACTTGATAGGATAGCCCTCATGGAGTGTATCCATGGTCGTCTTATGATTGCGTTGTAAGTTGTGTCCTGGCTCATGACATGGAACGTTGTTTCTAGGGTGACGCCCCCACCTAGAACGGGCAGTGTTATTTCTCCTAAGGTTCGTTCGACTGCATTGTTAAAACCTGTTAGTGTTATGCAGCGTGGTACTTTATTGTCCTCGAGTCGTATTTATGCAAAAATTCGAGGGTGAATAATACACGTGCCACTTCCGTCGTCCACCATTATTCTTTTAACATCAGTATATGAAATACGTAAAGTAATGACAAGACCATCGGAATCAAACCGTTGGTATCTGTCTTATCGAAGATGATACTTTCTCTGAGGTCATCATGCCACTCGTGGGTGATCGACCGCTTTAGCTTGTGTGTGGTGGTGGTAAATTTTATGTGGTTGATTGCTGCTTCTTTGCCTCCACCGATGATCATTTGAATAGTGCGGGCAGGAGAAGGCGGCTTTGGTGGGCCTTGGTGTTGTTCTCTTCCGCGGCCTAAATTGGCTCTTTCTCGATTGCTCATCAGTTCCTTTAGGTGCCCTTGGTGGAGCATGTTCACTACCTCTTGTCATAAAGCTATGGAGTCCTCAGTTTTGTGACCTCGCTCCTAATAAAATTCATAGAGGATATTCGACTTTCGGGTACTTGGGTCAGATTTCATCTTTTGCAGCCACTTCACCTTCGGGCCAAGCTTCTCTAGTGCATACACTATCTCTAAAGGGGAAACACAAAAATTGTGAGCAGATAAGAGTGGAGGCATACCTTTTTTGTTCAGCTGAGTCCCTGTATGCGGCCTGGACGGTCCTTCCACATGGAGAGGAGATGGTGGGATGGTTGTTCTAACATAAGGTTGGTGCCTGTCTGGGATGAAGAGGGATCCTGACTGATCTCTTCGACCGTCACTACGACGGTCTTTCCTCGGCTCTTTTAGAACCGAAGTTAACCATTGTATTGGACCGTTGAGGTCGTCTTCGTCCGCTCTCACCTCGGCGCAGTAGGCGTTGTGAATTTCTTTCCAAGTGGTGGGGGGTATTTCATGAGTCTGCTTAACAGTTTTCTTGTCTCTCTTGATCCATTCTTGTTCAACACGTTTTGGAAAGCTGCTACCGCCATTCCTTCTGATACATTTGGTAAGCTCATTCTTACCCTGTTAAATCGGGCTAAAAAGTCCCTGAGTCCCTCTCCAGGCGATTGCCTAACGACGAATATATCATTTACTCTGGCTTCCGCTTTCTTAGCTCCGGCGTCGGGAGTGACGAACTTGTCGGCCATTTCCTCGAACGTTGTTATAAATCGTTCTGGTAATTGTGAGTACCAAGTAAAGGCTCCTCCGGTTAAGGTTTCGCCAAACATTTTTGGTAGCACTGACGGTACTTGCTTCTCTGATAGGTCGTTGCCCTTTATTGTTGTGACGTAGTGAATGATGTGATCTTCGGGATCCGTCGTGCCGTCATATATCTTCAAATATGGTGGAATTTTGAAGGTTTTGGGTATGGTATGTGGGGCTGCCTCCTTGCTGTATGGTTGTTCGACGAATCGGCCGACATCTCGTTTCGGTAGCAGTTTTGGGGCGCCCGGTATCTTATCGACCCTTTCTTGATGTTCCCTCATCTGGTCGCGGAGCTCTTTGTTATGGTTTTCCATTTCTTTCATTTTCTTTAGGATGGTCGTGAGTGCGTCATTACTTACATCAATAGTGGTGTTAGTGTTACCTGTTGGGGGAGCGGGTTGTTCACCGGTAGTCGCTGTAATTTCTGCTGGCGCGGCATTTCTATCCGCCTTTTGAACAGGTTTGTCGAGTATGTCTTTTAGGGTACTTGTCAGCCACTCCTCCAATAACTTCTTCATAGCTGGTTGTGCTTCCTCAGCAGTGGATGTGGAAGCTCCCCTTCCGCGTGAGGCGGTTACACTTGCATGAGGGGGAGGTTAATCGCTCCGCTTGGGTGTAGCATTTGGTGTTACATTCTCATCGTCTCCTCTGTCATCCTCGTTGATGGTGTGTAAGATGTTGGTAGTGACACTTATTATCGCTTTCTGTCTTTCATCTCCTTTTCCTGTCATTGTTAGTTCGTGCAAACGAGGAAAAGATGGTTGTCCCCTTTTTATGATCTAGAAGAAACTAAAATTTTAACTAAAAAGTCCCCACGGACGGCGCCAAATTGTTTGACCAAAAAGTGTTAAGCTTTTCATTAAACTAATTATTGATAAAGCGGGGGATGAATCTTAGTTAAATATAATAAATTCTAGATCTAGTGTTGAGGTATATCGACTGTACGAATATGTTTAAGGGTAGTGAATATCAGATATGAGCTCAAAGATTATCAATGAATACTACAATACTAAGAACATGCAATAATTGTAGACAATGACAATAAATGTAATAAAAGGGAACTTATCACCCAAATATTATGTGACATGGATGATTCTTCCGCCAGACAGCAACGTGGAAGGATGAGAAGTAAAGATGGATAATGGATCCTCGGATCTAACAAATGGAGAGTGAATAATATATGTTGAGTCAAGTAGTCAGTGAACAAGACAATAGTTGTATATTCTTCTTTATCAACTCTTTATAAAAAGTGTTCTTATCGAAAGCCAAGATTCCCCCTTTGTTCTCTATCTCTTCCTATTTACAAGAGATATTCACAAGAAACCTTAAAAAGTACAAAACAAGGAATATCTGTGTCCACATCTGAACCTATCCTACCGTTATTTCTTCACTTCAGCTGCTCGTCCCTGACAACAGCCCTCTCGAGGATGGCTTCCCGCTATTACACCGCGGTCGACCCCTTCTTGGTCCCGTTTATCTGCTATTACCAAGTCGCCAAATTTAGACCAATACAATAATGATAAGGGTAAAACAAGAAAAAAAAATTATCTTTATGTTAATTTATTATAGTGGACAAATAAAAGTAAAAATATATTCTTTATATAATGGACAGTTTAAAGTGAATAGAGGGAGTATATAGTTTGAAATGAATTAGGTTATATTACGCATTGTCTGTGCCTCTTTGGGGTATAAGAATTGAAGGTTTCACACTTGAATAAAGAGAGTCAATTGATAGTCGTCTTTAGACTGGGTAATTGCTTCCACGCCTTTTCTTAATCATCAGCTGTGGGGAAACAGAACTACTGTTCCCCTATACGTCCATTGAGTCCAAAGTAAGTGTCACTTCATCTAAGAAATCAATAAGGGTTTAATTAATTTTATTTTTCCTAAAAACTGGCCTTGCTCTAATAAATTATCTGGAAAGTCTAAGAACATATGAACGGTAGTTTTAGTCAGACAATTTTGATGATTCATGCTATTAAATAGTTTTTTAATGAATTTGTCAAAACCTTAAACTACACTTATTTTGAACCTATGGGATATTTTCTTGTGACAATAAAATTTTCATTGATTATTCTTAGGTTTCAAAGTTATGAGGTCAAGAAACTAATATGCTATAATTTGAAAATGAGCTCGTCTTGAAAGTAAGAGAAAGTAAAATATCATTTCTCCACCATTAACAAATATTTCACGCATGACGTACACAAATTATTCCTTCAACCCACAGTCAAGGAACCTTTGTTCTGTTTCCTTTATTCTGCTAACCTTGTGTCCCAAGACGTTAACTTATTTGTCTTTTTTGTTAAATGTTTATCATGGAATCGAAAACTTCTTTGGTAGCTAACGTTTTCCTCCTTTAATCAAATAGGCTTTGCAGACGCGAAATCAAACTAGCCGAATCAATGGACTAAGAATACCAAATGATTGAACCAAAATAGCGTTGGTTCAAAGCTAAAGCAACTAAAGCAAAGACTTTCGCTCTCAAAATTTTGGGGACCTCATTTTTTTCAACTAAAAATAGGTTTTACGGTGAATTTTTTTTTGATATTAAATGTAAAAATTACAAGATATTTGTTAAAAATAAAAAGAGAACTATTTAGCTACGTGATTGATTAGCTGTATTATCAATACAAAAACACAAAAAAAAAAAAAAAAAAAATTATACAAAAATTATAACTCTTAATAACTTTACACCTCAAAAAACTATAAAATAAACTTTAAATAAAATATTTATGTAAGGCTAAAGAAAAAAGTTAAGGCCTATTCACAAAATTTTGCTTTAGACCACTTACGTTGTTAAGCCGCCATGCCAAAAAAAAAATCCCTCAAGGGATACATTGAATATAGGAAAGTTCCATCCAACTGATTAATATAGTACTTCACCAATCGAATGCAAAAAGCAACACGGAACACCATGTATCTTTTTCCTACAAGTGCTTTATCTCTATAAAGGGAGCAATGGTTTCAGATCTTCATTATATCAGAAAGAGAAAAAAGAGGAGACTAAAAAAGAATGGCAAAATTGTTTATTAAGCAGGCACAACAGTACTCAAAGGGCAGGCCAAGTTACCCTGAAGAATTGTTCAATTTCATAGCTTCAAAAACCCCTTGTCATGACCTTGTTTGGGATGTTGGCACTGGTAGTGGCCAGGCTGCTCAATCTGTAAGTCTCTGTAATTCCTTTCATTGCTTCATCCCCACACCCACCCTCCTGTAAATCTGCTAATTCCTCACTATAAACTGGCGCAGTCAGGAATTTCATAACGGTATTTAAGTTAATGTAGGTATATAGAAAGTAATACCATATGACCTATATAATACTATAATACAACAATAACGAACCCGGTATAGTTTACATGTAGGGTCTACGGAGGGTAGATAGTACACAGACCTTGCCCCTACAGTTAATTTAAAGAGACTGTTCCAGTATACTCCGACACGGGGAGCCTATATAATCGTATAATCAGAATACAATTATTGGGTGAAGGTTATTCAACTAGCCACCCTTCCATGGTTGTATCTCTGCCGCTGTAATTCCTAGTCGCATAGAAAAGAATAGAGACCTCTTTTTCTTAAACAATGGTTTTTCTCTTTTTCCAAATAGGCTAAGGGTGTACAACTGGCCACCCTTCAATGGTTGTAGCTCCCCTCCTGTCTATGTAGAGATTTGACTACGAAAAGTAGAATTGACTAAACTGATAATTAGTTGCATAACAAAGAGTAGAGATCTCTGTTTCTTAGAGAATGGCACAATGTCTTTGTTTATCTTTTACCAAAGAGGCCTTACGGAAAACAAGAAATCTAGCATTTTTAACTTTTCACTGAAACAAGATTGTTAGAGTTCTTTATTATGATACAATAGTACCTAATCTTTAGCAGCCATTTTACAGATCTAGACAGCTACAGGCATATAATACTACAATAAGAAGCAAATATTTCCCCTGTTAAATTTTGATATCCTAAAGAAAGAGTTCAAAAACAAGCATCCTTTAGTGTTCCAGCATTACTACTTGTTGTCCTAAATGCTCTTAAATTATTGTTTCTTTCAGTTGGCTAAGCTCTACAAGAATGTAATAGCCACAGACACAAGTCCAAAGCAGCTTGAGTTTGCCGTAAAGGTCCCTAATGTTCAATATATATGTACTTCTCCCAAGATGTCAATGGCCGAAATCGAAACCAAAATAGGAGCAGAGTCAAGTGTAGATTTGGTCACAGTAGCTCAAGCAATGCATTGGTTTGATCTTCCAACTTTTTATCAACAAGTAAAATGGTTATGCAAGAAACCAAATGCAGTAATAGCAGCCTGGTGTTACACTGTGCCAGAAGTAAACAATTCAGTGGATCCAATTTTTGAGAAATTTTACACAGTTGATGCTGGACCATATTGGGAATCTCCGAGAAAATTAGTGGATGAAAAGTATAAAACTATTGACTTCCCATTTGAGCCTGTAAGTGGTTGTGATCACAATGGACCATTTGAGTTCAAGATTGAGAAAGTGATGGACTTGAATTCTTATTTCACATACTTGAAGTCATGGTCAGCTTATCAAACAGCAAAAGAAAAGGGTGTTGAGCTCTTGACTGATGATGTTGTTGAAAAATTCACAAGTGTTTGGAATGAAGATGGAGAGAGTCAGAAAACTGTGTCTTTCCCAATTTACTTGAGGATTGGCAAAGTTGGAAATTTGTAATGAAGGTGAAATCAGTATTATTAGTTTCTCAATTTGTAGATTAGGGAATTTAGAATCTGCTGTTGATCATCAATTTTGTACTTTCTGCTGGTTGTTTTCTAATAAAGTGTTTTAGTACAATTAAAACATCTACTTGTATTACACAACTAACGTATAATAATTGATGTTACTGGATGGAGTTATCTTAGCTCAAGAGATTGATGATATTGTTTCGTCAAGATTGCTACTCCAACAAACTGTTCTATATTATCTTAGCTCAAGAGATGGATGATAAAGTTACGGCCGACGAGCGGTCGTCAGTTGGACACCCTTTACCAAAAAATTATACTTTGTCTGTAGGATCAAACATTACTTTTTATACACATATTAAATCTTAAACGCACTTATTGAAATTCGTGGCTTCGCCATTGATGAACTCCTACTAAGCTCTTGGGTTCCTCCTAACATCGCCATTGATCCTCGACTATTCCACTAGGTATCTGCTACTCCCACCTCCATAAGTACAATGTATCTCTGTCCACCAAGACTTAGGCACATAAAAAGAGCTTGCTTTCAAGTTATAACCAAACATAAGCAAGCTTAACCATTCCCCAAATATCACTCACTACCAAAAGAAAAGAATTCAGAGTTCCCCAAAACGAGATAAACTTTCTTTATATGAGGCAAAGCATTGAATTCATTAGACAATATTTCAACAGCAAGAAGCTAAAGCAGGTGATTTAGTGAAGCAAAAGAGAAACTTTCTTTCATGAGACAAAAGATTGGAACTTTGTTTAGCACAGTGGAGGCAAAAAATACTACTCCTTTTAGTGACACTTTTGACTTTTCCAGATTCATACTTCTTGATATTGACCGTGCATTTAAATATAAAATCTTTAAATATTTCAAAATAAGATTTACATATTTGAAAAATACCTAAAAATTACTATAAGTTCCAATAATTAATAAGTAATTTAAAAATATGAAAAACTTACAGTAAAAAAATAACTCATTTGACTCTCCAATATCGTCATATAAATTGGGACAAGAGAGTAGGTGATTTCTTCTCATCTACCTAAGTTTAAATAAGAAGAGTTACTCGCGGTAACACAACTGATGGGAAGTAGCAGGTACCAGGCAGGGCCGACTCTAATGTTGTACGCCCTCCATTTCAAATTAGATGAGGTAGTTTGACTCGGCACGAAGTTTAAGAAAAAAAGAAAGATTTTTGAAACTTGTGGCCCTAAAAGCTTAAGGGGTAAAAGCTTTGCGGGGCCATGACATTTGTGTGGTTATAAAAGCTTCCCATTAAGTGTAAAATGGGTTAAATGAAGAGTTTAAAGTAGAATTATTACCCCTAGGAGTAGGGGTAAGGTCTACGTATAAATTACCCTCCCCATACCCCTATTAGTGGAATTTTACTGGGTTGTTGTTGTTGTTGTCATTATTTCTGGAACGGACTAATAACAAAAGTGTGTCATCTAAATTGAAACAGAGGGAGTACTTAACAAGTGCCTTAGGCCCCCAAATTTGGGAGGCCCCATTTTTTAGAAGTAATAGATTTATAGGTATTTAAAATTTTATTTAGTACTTTTAGTACAAAAGTAGACTTAATCAAATAAAAGGAAAAAATTTGTTTTAGCTATGTAAACAAAGTAACTTTTTGGCTTACTTAAAAATAGGTAGTTGGTATAATTAACGTGTAAATTGGAATTGATTTGACAAAAATAGTACAAGTAGAAGATACTACTCTAAATGATATACTCAATCAAATAAAAAGACTTTTCTTTTCCAAATGCTTATATTGCTTATAGAATAATATTAACAGTTCCTATAACAGTTGCCTCGGCGAAAGACGTGTTTCAAAATTAAAATTGATAATATCCTAGCTAAGATCAATAATATCTGAAGAAAGATTAAATGAGTTGGCTATATTAATTGAAAAGGAATTATTTGAAAAAATTGATTACAAAATATTATTAACAACTCCGCATCTAAAAAATCTAGAACAATAGACTTTAATTAAAAATATATATTATAACAAAAATTTAGGTCTCACATTAAACTTTGTTAGGCTATACATGTGCTTGAGCCGCCCTTGGTACCAAGTCAAAACTGCGTGCAAGATGGCCCGACAGCACAGTCATCAAATTAAATAAAAAGATTGGAACTTTTTTTTTTTGAACACAACACATGGATATATTATATTACTTAGAACAGAATAAAACTGCATGGCCATAGTAGATGTTTTTAGGGCATTACTGTTGCCCATAGTTGCCAAATAGTTACAAACATTAGTAGAATTACTCCTAAGACTATTACAAACTCCATGCTTGTTCTTGATCACTTCTTGTTCGACAAAAAAGGGTGGACAGGCATGGTAAAAATACTTTGTTGATGGTGGGCTCTTGATAGCTTGGTTTGCCAGTATATGTGCCACCTCATTTCCTTCTCTGAAATTATGCTTTAGGTGTGGGAGATTCAATTGATGCATTAACCATCTGCATTCAGAAACAATATTAGAGAAGTTATAGGTATCCTCATATATAAGTTTGATGACATCCGTACAATCAGTTTCAATCTCCAGATTTAGGAAGTTCATTTCTTTTGTAATTTTTAGTCCTTCTAGCAATGCCATCAGCTCTGCATGTGTAGGAGAAATTGCTTGGCTTGCTTTGTGGTATCCCATAATCTAATCTCCTTTACTATTTCGGAATGCTCCACCAAGCCCAGCTGCATTATTGTTACTAGAAAAAGCACCATCATAATTTAATTTTATCATACCTTTAGGAGGTTTGTTCCAACTAATCTCAATTGTGACTGTTTTTTGCAAGAACGGATTTTTTTTTTGTGAAAAAAATGAATCCCCAAGATGGATGGATAATTTTCCCTATTTCCAGATAGTTGTTAAGATTGTTGATATTATTATGATTTTTGTTCTTCCATAATTCCCATATGGAGAAGGGAAATAAGGTAGTCCACTTTATCTGGAGATTACAGTTTTGAATAAAGATATCCCTCAATTTTACTAGCCAATTCGTGTAAGTAATAAAGTTTATGGAGGGAAGACCCATTTTTTTCCAAAGACGGTTAGAGACTGGACAATTAACAAAAATGTGTTGGATGTCCTCTATCCCAAATTTGCAAATGGTACAAGTAGCATCAATATTGATACCTATTTTGGCTAGGTAGGCTCGGCATGGAATACGATTGTGCATGCATTGCCAAAGGAAGAACTTTATTTTATTTGGGCAATGGAGGTTCCAAATCAACTCAAAAGACTTGGAAGTTGGATTGTCTTCAGAAAGGAGTTTATAGCAAGATTTGGTGGAAAATAGACCATTTGAGTTGAGGCACCAGCTAGTTTTGTCAATATTCGATCCCTCACTAGGGATGGAAGTAATTTTAAGATTGTTCAGGATGTCACTGGGTAAGTCAAAGGAAATATCTTTTGTATTCCATTCCTTGTTATTGATGAGGCTTCCTATAGTAAGAATAAGGTCGTTCCTACTTAGAGGCCCTTCTATTGAGCTTCTTAGGGATTTTGAGTTATAAATCCAATTGGTATACCAAATGTTAATCCTAGAGTTAATAGTTGGATGCCAAAGAATACCCTTATTGCACACTTTCCATCCTTTTAGGATAGACTTCCAGATGAACGAGGTGCTAGTGATGGTTTTTTTGTGTGGCATATTTGGCCATAATCAGGTGACCCCAGGGAGTGGTAGGGTTTTTTAATAGTCTCCATGCAAGACTTTAGAGTAGAACTAAATTTTTAGCTTTAGCAGGACGAATACCCAACCCTCCCTCATTTTTATCCTTAGTAACCTTTTGCCACCTAATTAGGTGAAGTTTTTTAGTTGTGCTAGTGGATCCCCAGATAAAGTCCCTTTGGACTTTATCTATCTTCTTTAAGATTTTAGGGGGGAGAAGGGTCTATTGCATAGAGTGAGTAGGAATTGCACTAAGGTACTAAAAGCTAGAGTAGTCCTTCCTGCCATGTTTAGGAAGGAGCATTTTCAGTGGGACAACTTGGTTTGCATTTTATCTGTGATAAATTGGAAGTCCTTAGTGGTGGGAGAGTGATTGAGGATTGGAAAGCCAAGGTACTTACCAAATTCATTGGTGGATTTTATACCAAAGAGGTTTGTTAGAAATAACCTGAAGTCATGGGGACAATAATTAGGAAGGACAATTCTTGATTTAGAGGTGTTTATGGCTAGCCCATATTCATTATAAAAAAATTCACACATGATTTTATGCAATGACCTGTTTTTTTGTTTACTTTTCCCATTAGGGTTATATCATCAGCAAAAAGAATATGGGAAAAGGAGGGGCTTTTTTGTCTAATGTAGATTGGATCCCATCTTAAAGTGTCTACTTGGTGGTTTATTAATCTAGATAAGAGTTCAAGGCAAAGTACGAATATATAGGGAGATATGGGATCACCCTGACGAATACCTCGACTGGGTTGGAAATAATTTGTTCTAGCCCCATTCACTAGGATTCCCATAGAGCTAGTACTTATGCAATGCATAATAAGACGAGATAAATGGGGAAAAATTGGAAATATTTAAGGGTCTTATACACAAAAGACCATTCCAGTCTATCAAAAGCCTTCTCCAAATCTAATTTGATTATCATATCAAAGTTGGATTTTTTTGTTCTACGATGGTTATTCATAATTTCCTGAATGATAATGGCATTATCACAGGCTCTTCTATTCTTAATAAAGCTAGATTGCATAGGACTAATAAGGTAAGGGAGAAAGGGTTTTATCCTACTCACAATAATTTTAGTGACTATCTTATAGGAGGTATTACAAAGACCAATAGGTCGAAAGTTTTTAAGGTTGTTTGCATTGGGAAACTTAGGAATGAGACAAATAAATGTATCATTGATTCCACTAGGCAGAGATTGGGTTTTGAAAACCTTGTGGCAGAAGTTAATTAAGGAATCACCAATGATTTGCCAATACTTCTGATAAAAAAAGGATGAAAGCCATTCGGGCCTGGAGCCTTAAAAGGTTTAAAAGAAAAACATAGCCTTGGTGATTTCCGAATTATTTAAGGGGTTATCAAGGCTACTTAGGTCAACCTTATTAAAGCACGAGGCATCACCAATGCTAATGTTGTTAGGGGAGGAAGTTTTGGAATTCTTAAAGGCATCCCTAAAGATGGAGAGAGTATGGTCTTGAATTTGTTTAGG